CTTCCCTCTCCTTTTCCTTCTTCCCTCCCTCCCTCCCTTCTCATTCCTATCTCCTTTTTCCTCCCTCCCTCCTCCTTTTCCTTCCTTCCACCTTCCTTCCTTCCCTCCTCCTTTCCCTTCCTTCCCCAGGAGCGGGATGACTGGAAGACGAAAGAGGGGCGGCTGCTGGCGGACGCGGGACGGGAGACCCCCGGGAGAAGGCAGGGCGAGCGGGCGAGCGGAGAGCGAGAGTCCGGCAGAGCCGCGGGCGGGCGGTGCTGTCCCAGGCAGGGGCGGGGTGGGGCGGGGGCGATCGGCCTTAAAAGGGAAGCGGTCGCGGGTCCAGCGGAGATCGGGCCATGGAGGCGGCGGCGGCGGGGGCGCTGGGGGCCGGCGCGGCGCTGCTGCTGGGGCTCTACGCGCTGGTCTACTACTACTTGGTGGCGGCCACCCGGTGCCGGAACGCGGTCAGCCTGCGGGGCAAGACGGTGCTCATCACAGGTGGGCTGGGGGGGGGGGCTTGTTCCCTTTCTTTCTTTCTTTCTTTCTTTCTTTCTTTCTCTTCCTCTCCCTCCCCCTCTCTCTTTCTTTTTTTTTCTTTCTCTTTTTCCTCTTTCTCTCTCTCTCTCTTTCTCTTCCTCCCTCTCTCGCTCTCTCTCTTCGCTTCCCCCCCCCCCCAACTTCAAAGGCTCCGCGGAGGACCGAACTCGCGGGGGGGAGGGGAGGCCAAAAGCGCAGCGCAGCGTCCGAGGGAGACGCGAGTCAACGCTAAACCGGGTTTGTCCGCGGAGATTCCGCCCACCCAGGCCCTGCTTGACCCAAAGGCCCTTTCGCCACAACCCAGGAAATCCGGGCAGAAAAAGGGGAAGAAACCGAGGCCGAACCGAGCCGTCCGGATTCTGATCCTGTGACCGCGGAGAGGCTGCGAGAGTTGTAACTGGGAGGACTGGTTGTAATGGAAGTCAAAGCCTGGAACTAAGGAGGAATTTTCTGACAGAACAATCAAAGAATCAGTCACCAAAGAATGGACTTTTGCTAGCATAGCGGCCCCGATTCCTGCCGGTTCTTTGGCACAGGAGGCGGCTGCAAACCGGCTTTTCGGGCTGCCCCGGGCTCGTTTTCCGTGGGGGTCCGGGGTCACTTCTCTTCGTCCCTGGCTTAAGCTTTGGCTGCCCCACGTCCTGTCGTCCCCCCCGCCCCCAGGCTGGAGAGAAGCTTCTTGCATTGGAGCCCTTTATTGCTTAACTTGTGAAGTGGGAAACAAGCAACTCCCTTCCGATTAAAAGGCCAACATCCAATGAGGGAGCGGAGGAATTGAGAAACAAACCCCTGGCTGAAAAACTGATGTAACGAAGAGAACTCTGGTTTCCCAGACCCTGGTCTGCGTTTCCTACACGAAGGGCTGCTAGCGAGGGATGGAGCGGACCTCACAAGAACTGGGAAGAATATATTCGGAAAAAGAACCGGCTCGTGTTGTCGGAAGGGCTTTACGCTACAATTGGGAGGGGGGAGGACGCAATCTTCACCCCCTTTGGAAGCTAATACCAAGAGAAAACTACTAGGTAACCCATCCTGTAAGGAAGTGGGGGGTGAAGAGAAAGGAGAAAAGCTCAGGTGCAAAGTGCAGGAAGCATTCCCGGGGGTCAGCCCAAGAGGCCCCTGACGGTCAAAGTTTAGGGAACAAACAGGGTGAACTTGAAATACTGGGGTCAGAGAGCAAGTAGGATACAGCCGCCATTAGAGAAACTTGGTGGGATGAAACTCACGATCGGAATTTACCGATAAAAGGACGCAAACTATTCAAAAGGAACCGATCTAACAAAAGAGGAGGTGGAGTTGCATCGTATGTAAGAGGTCACTTTGTGTCCACAGAGATGCACCAACCAAGGGTGAAAACCTCCTATGATCCATAGGGGTCAACACAAAAGGGGGAGGGAAAGAATGACATGGCTATAGGCGTATACTACAGGACAGCCAACCAAGCAGAGGAAACAGATGAACACTTTGCTCGTCAGATAACCAGCGTATCTAAGAAACACAGCACGGAGTATTAATGTTTGGCTATCCTGGCATCAACTGGGAGACAAATTCTGCAACCAATGGGCGATCGAACGGATTCCCAACCAGCTGACAACTTCATCACACAAAAGCTAGAGGAGGCAACTAGAGGGACAGCTAGACTGGTCCTTATCTTAGCAATAGAGAAGAAGTGGTAGAGGGAATCGAAGTTGCAGGAACTTTAGAGGAGAGTGACCATGTCATATTACAATTCAACATAAAGCAGACAGAAGCAACAGAACATAATCACGCCAGCGTTTTTTGTTTTAAATTTTGAAGGAGCTGATATTAACAAACTCAGAGAGAAAGGATTCCATGGATGAAATCTTAAAGGGAGGGAAAGCCATTCAAAGCCTGGGAAACACTGAAAAATATTATCATAAAAGCCCAGTCCAACACAATACCACTGAAAAAGAAAACCAAGGGAAAAAAACCCAACAAAGAACTGAGAGGTGGGAAAAAAGGACAAATACAAAAAATGAAGAGTGAGAGGGACACATAACTAAGGTAGGATACCAACAAATAGCCCAAACCTGCAAAGATAAGTTAGGAAAGCTGTGGATGAATTTAAACTTGCAACAGATGTCAAAAACAATTTTTAAAAACTTTTTTTAAAAAAACCAAGAAAAAAGGCAACCAGTCCAAGAAATAATGGGCAGTAGAAAGAAATCGTAACTGCTTAATTCATACTTCACATCTGTCTTCATCCAAAAACAACACTATTCACCTTAGCAGAAACAGAAGCATAAATGACAGGTTAGGAAATGACAATATGCAAAAATAAAGTAAGAGAACACCTGTCTGTCCGCTCTAGATGGATTCACATCACTGGGTCCTGACAGACTACATCTCAGAATGATGAAGGGATTGGCAGGTATGATCTCAGAACCCTTGAAGGATACCTTTCAACGTTCTTGGACCCAAGGGAACAACCAGAGGACTGGAAAAGAGCCGATTTGGTTCCCAACTTCAAAAAAGGAAGGAGAAAAAAAGAAAAGAAAACAGATCCAGGAAATTACAAGCCAATCAGCCTGACCCCAATACCTAGGAAGGTCTTGGAAAAGATCATTAACAAATCCGTTAACACCTAAAAGCAAACAGGCTCATAACCCAAAGCCAAGATGGCTTCATCAAAAACAGATCACGCCAAACAAATCTTATTTCATTCAAATTAGCAGGTCAGAAAAATGCTGTGGACTTCACATTCTTAGACTTCAGCAAGGCATTCGACAAAGTAGAC